GGAACTTATGGGCTCACGTTGTAACGCCAAGTACGAGTTTCGAATGCGTCTGCTGGGTCCAACCTCTCATTGTCTCTCCGGTTTTGGCGGCGGTGTGTGTAAAGACGACTTCGTAAAAATTATTTCGGTCTCGTCCTCGTTTCGCGCGTGCGAGGGCCTCTCTTCGTGCCACGTTTCTCTTCTTCTTTCTCGTCCTTTTTCCGTCCGTCGTTCTTCAGGAGTGGAGGCTTTCCCAGTATGAAGGATGGTTTATTGTTCTTTTTTTCCCCCCATATAAATTACCGAACTCTTACTTCCGCGTCTCTTGGCCCCATCCCTTCGTCCTCCACGTTCTCGCGACGTTGACCTATTTTCGGCGTATCACGTTGCAGGATTCTAGATTCCACGCGGGTTTTTTTTCCATTGCACGAGCGGGAAACCCTTCGCGCTTCGTGAGGATTTTATTGAGCACCCCGTTCGCCAAGCACATCTCCTTCATATTGTTCTTTGTGCGTTCTCTCGCGCGCACGCATTTAATTCCACCGTCTAGAAAGTGAGCCCGTCGGTTCCCATAAGTATCATTAGCCGTAATCTAAGACCGTCCAACTAGGCAAGTGATATGAAAACTTGACACTCGGTATGCACACACACCCTGAGACCTTTATCTTCTTATCATTCGACGCTGGTATACGCGCCGCCTCTCTCTCTCTCTCTCTCTCTCTCTCGCGCGCGCGCGCACACGCGGCTCTTTATCCTCCCGCGATTTTACAACGTTACACTCGCTGTCGCGCGTTTAATGGTCTAGAAAAGTCCGACATGATAATGATCGTATCGTGTAACGCAGCGCGCGCTACACTCGCGGACACTAAATCGTAATTTCCTCAAGAGGGGGTGTCTCTTTGTACTTATTACCTCCGCCCGGCGGTATAAAACTGAGGCGTTACTACACGTTGCCCCACGTCGTCCTTTTTTTGCGCGTCCGTTTCGAGTGCGAGCGGCAAATCCTCTCGGAACGAGGCTGCCGTAAACTGCCGCTTCAAGGTAGACCTCTAACCGCCGCATGACCGTAGATCGAAACTACCGTGTGTGTTGAAAGAGATAATCGCGGGGAGCTGAATAAAAAGTATGTGTATTAGGATACGCGAGCGCGCGTGTATATGTGTGGGGAGGAGGGGGAGGGGGGAGGCTTGCGCGTTGTCGCTCTCGCGGTTCGTGAGTGGAAATATTCCGTATTTCCGTAACGATTTTTCTGCAGCGACGTGCATTTATCCGTGTGGACTACGAGGGTCATGCTGAAAGTTTGTAGATATTCTTAAACAAGCGAATTTATTTAAACGATACATATTACAATTTCTTGAAAAAACTCTCCCTGAGCATCAGTGCACTTCTGCTCGGTTCTCAAAAACCAACCATTAAATATTTTATTCTACTTTTGTTTTGACACCATCGATGCTTCCTCCTTGTGAAGCTGCAAAAGCCTCTTCTGATGTCCCCGAAGCTTTCCCTTTACTTTTGGGAACAATGCAAAGTCGTAGGGAGCCAAGTCTGGAGAAAATAGGCAGGATGAAGCAGGAGCCGAACTTGATTTTCCTGCAAAAGCTCCAAAGTTCTCGCCGCTGTGTGAAGAAGCCGTGCATTGTGTCGTGATGGAGGATGAAATTGTGGAGTGTTGTCGACCTTGGATGTGCAGAAGTCCACGCCTCAAAGACTTTCGGAAGGCAGTGCGTAACGTACCACTTTGCTGTCACAGTCTTCTAATGGAGCAGTTTCTGTATATCCTGTCTTTGTGAAGAAAGGTGCCATCATAATCTTCCTTACGTTCCGTCCTCGTTGTACTTTTAATGGTGGAGGCTCTTTTTGAAAACACCATATTGCCGCTTTGTTTCTGGATCATAGTTATATATCCAGGTCTCGCCACGTGTGACGATATTAAAAACATTCTTACTTTGCTCTTCTCTAAACCTTTGCAGCATATAACGACACCGATCGACCCGCTCCTCCTCCTTTTGCTCAGACGTAAGCAGATGTGGCACCCGCAACGACCGCATCGCTTTGTGAGGTGCAGATGATCCTTAATTATCGTTTGCGCTGCGGTTGATCCGATCTTCAGGATCGCCTTTATTTTCCCACAAGTGATAAGTCGGTCTTCTTTCACTAGGTTTTTCCCACAGCGGCAATATTCCACCGTCCACATGTCCACTTTCATCGATTGAAATATCCGCTCCAATGAAGCCAGAATCCGCCCTAAGGGTGAGCGAAACGTTCACCCCTGCAATTTGGAACGGCGATATTTTCTCTCGAGGCGACGGTGAAAAAATTGCTGTTTTCCGTTTTCGGTGAGATTCTCCACGCCGCAAAGTTGTGAAAATCCTACGGGGTTAATTAGCGTTAGGGAATCGTTAACCGAGCCAAATTCACGGAGAAAGAGAGGGCCTCTTAGGCTGCCGGCATGCGCCGGGATGGTTGGTATTCATTCACACGATATTACGGTAACGCGCCTTACAATGAAGGCGGGGGCGATCGCCTCGTCGGGCGATAAGAAGATTAATGCGCGCTACCGCCAAATTACAGCGCGCCAATTCGTGGCCACGAGGGGCGGCGATAGCTGGCGTGGCGCGCGGCCTGAACTTGTTGAGGCCCTCGAGACCGGAAAAATAAACGACGCGACGCGATAATGCCGGTCGCTCGAGCGGTTTACTACGATTTCCTGCACGATTTCCAAATAGTTCCTGGAAAAAAGTCTAGCGGCGTAGCTCGCTCCGGCGCGATCTTGAGGAAGGGCGCAGCGTCCCCGAAATTCAGGGGATCAGCAGTCCTCTCCTTACTTAACTCTTCACGGTGCAAATTCTTCCTCTCATTCTTAACAGCCGTTCTTAGTAGTACTTAATAGTTTTTCACATTTTTTACATTTATTAAATGTTCGAACCGTTGATCACTCGCATTTAAATCACTTATTAACTCCTTCTACAAAATTTTGTCCAACTCTAAACGACATTTCTGGAGTCACGCCAGCGCAACGTTCACGTATTCTTCGTTCTGTTGTTTAGAGTTGGTTTGCAAAATTTTGTAAAAAGAATCAACAGGTGTTTAAATACGACCGAACAACAGTTCGAACATTTGATAGAGTAAAAAATTTGAAAAACCATGAAGTCTTTTATTTTACTTATGGTTTTATCACTTTAATTCAAATGCACTTTATTGCAAAGTTTAAATGTTTATAACTTTTTTGATAGAAGTATTAAAAAAAAAATGTTTCGAACAAAGTTTAATTGTTTCTTCCCGTAGAATCCAAATATGTGATATTTTATTGGCAGGAGATTCCAAAGGTTCCAGGTTTGAAATCACGAAGTTACCCCCTACTCCCCTTCAAGGGTGAGCGGGGGCAGACTTTTGTTTATACAATTAGAAAAATCTCTCGAATACATGAAACTTTGAACAATCATTTGTTACGACAAATATTTTTAGAATTTTTGGGATTGTCACACTTTAAGTAAGCCACGCTGTACATGACAAGGCTGTTTTTTCCACTATCATAAGATTGATCTGACTATATGAGTAATTCTCCGGTGAAATATTTAGTAAATTAGTCAAGTAGTAAACATAAACACATACGATTAATTGTGTTTTTTTGGGTCAGCATTGTGTAATCACCTTGGTGAAATGAATTTTGAGCCTGTTTTGCAGGAACAAATTGAAGCAATTTCGTTGAGAGAATGAAGGCAGCTAATCTTCTGTGTACAACCCTGCGCAATTGAATTGATTAAATTCCATTCATTTTGGCGGATTTTTTGATGATATATTCGGTAATAGTTTCTACAGTAGGCGTGCGTTATATCTAAAAGTCCAAATCTCGAAATTCGAAAACTGGAACAAAACAGTATCCGAGTACCAAAATAGCGAAAAATATCATTCCGAAGTATAAAATTTTATTTGCGAAGTAATTACAATTACTTTTACTGCAATTACTCAGTGAACAGATATTAATATGGCTGTAACGAGACAATTACAATATTTCGATAAAATTGTATTCTTCGGAAAATTGCCTCGGTGTTATAATTTCTCAGGAGATTGTCTCATTTTTTAAATTTCAATGCATTTTTATTCCTTCCAATCCACGAGTTTTTCGTTCAATTTATATCTGTTAATGAAATTTGGCTCGCACGAGTTAGCCATATCTGAGTTTAGAATTAGATCGGAACTTCTCCGAGTTGGATTATATGATACACGTGAAACATTATACTCGTGATCGCGATTCAGCTTAAAAGCTCATATCTAATTCGAAACTCATATCTGAGAGTATCGCGAGTGTGAAACGAGTTTCAAGCAGCGGCTATAAATACGGATCTTAAAGCTTGAAACTGGCATCTCCTCGAAAGGAATATCTCATGAGAACCGTCTCGTCGTGTCGTGTCTCGCACTTGCGCGCAAGTCCTCGAAACGCATCGAAAACCAGAATCTGGATCCCATTCGATCCTCTCCGCGCATCCTTCTTCCTCCTCTCCTCGGCGAGCGCGCGGCGCACGCTCGTTTCTTGAATTGCGCTTTATTTATGCGATCTTCAATGACCTCGAGGTAGCGATAACCTCGCGAGGGGAAGGCGCGCTGCGACTATTTCCTCGTGAAAATATCCCTACTAACAGCAACTCGGGTAACAACTCGGGGTCCTCCTCTCGGCTCTGGGGAATCGCGTCGTCGTCGTCTCCTCCGCGTTGCGGAGGTCAGCGTCGTCCTTTCTGCGACTTTATTGACGGAGCCGAGGCGCGGAGTGCGCTTTCCTCGCACGAAGAATTCCCGTTTCATTCCGCGACGTCCTCGCCGCGTCGAAAATTTACGATATTTCCCCGGGAGACCCTTTTCTTCTTTCTCGCTCTTCCCCCTCCCCCCCCGCGTTTTTCTCCCCTTCAGTCGACGACCGCGCGCGCGGGTACCCTCATGGCGGAAGCATATCGCGCCGATAGATCTAACGGTGAATTAGCGGCTGAAAGAGATTTTTCTCTCTCTCTCTCTCTCTCTCGTTGCAGATGCTGCGGTCGGCGGATCACCTTCTTCTGCATCCGAGCGGCGAGATCGCGCTCCGATTATGGTGAGTAAATCCCCACCCTTCAGCGCGCTAGCCTCCGCGATAAATTATTTATGACGCGCGCGCGCGCGCGCGTGCGCGCTGCCGGTAGTGGTCGATTTATCGAGAGCCGGTCGGATCGATCGTTTTACTACGAATTCGCACCGACGAAAACGTAACGGTGCGCGCAGCTGTTTGGCTCGCGTACTTTTCGCATCTCGCGTGCGTCGCACGCATCGCTACCCGATTGATCAAACATCCTCGTGAATTCGTCCCTCCTCCTCGGGTAGGAACTCCCTTTTTCATGCGAAATTCACACGTGTACAGGGTGTATAAAAAGTACCGGGAGAGAACCTGGAGAAACATCTTGGGAGAGAAGCACTTTAGAAGAGAAATGTCTCGGACGAAAGTTGTATGGCTTCTAGGGGGACATAAGACGGAACTGTATCGTTTTGTTTGCAGATGACGCCACTTTCAAGACATTCACAGATCATTACTTTTCTCAAATGGAAACAGCAATTTTTCTATTCGTATTATCTCTTTCTACCGATTAATTTTAACAGCTCTTGTCCGAAACATTTTTTTATTTGCCTAATATTTCCTGAGACATTTTATATGGGAATTGAGGGGAACCTGATAACTTTTTCAATATTTAACTTACGATATCTCGCTCAACTATTTGTCGGAAGAAAAAGGTGGTGCTCGATTTTTCATTCTATTTGGTCTCAGGAATATATTGTCACAGTAGCGCTCTGATGCTTTTGTTAATTTGATGATTTTGGAATTTCTAAAGGTCGATAAATTAACAAAAGTTAGGGCGCTATTGTAACAATATTATTTCTTTAGACTAAATAGAGTAAAAAAGCCTAGTGCTATTTTTCCTTCCGATAAATAGTTAGCGAGATATCGCAAGTTAAATATTGAAAAAGTTACCAAGTTTTGCTTAAATATCTGAAAAAATTTTAGACGTTTCTTTCTTAGCCGTGTCACTCTCGTTGCAACTCTCTTACAGTATCAGTTCACTCCTCCCTTTCCCTTTCTACTTCTTGCGCGGCTGCCAGGGATTATATTTCGTTGCGTTACCAATGCGTTTGTAGCGTTTACTGCAAGCTTGTTTTGATATATTTCTTTATTTCACTTTACACTGCTTTTCCCTGTTCCAATTGTCAAAATCAATTTGGATTTATGTACTTATATCAATAAGCACAGAATTGGCAGATTGATTGATAATCACAAGCCGAAACATGCGTTTGAAAGGACGATGGCGTACCTTCACAAAAGAAGAGAAGAAATAAATAAAAGAAAAGAAAAGAAAAGAAAAACCAAGAACTGTAAAAGTGAAATGTCAGAGATATCGATTGTCGAGCTTGATACTTAAGGGGACTGAAGGGGAAAAATCGTGCTTGTTTTTGATAATATTTTGAGGACGAACTGAACAAATATGCAAGAATTAAAATGTTAGGTATTGTTACACAACATATGAAGAGTAGAAAAATTTTGTTTATTAACAAATATAAATATATGTAAAATTTTCATTCTCGCACATTTATTCAGTTCGTCACAAAATCATTATCAAAAACAAGCACGATTTTTCAGTAATCTGACCATCCAGTTCTCAGTTAAGGAGATCGGACATTTCACACTTAATGACCTAATAGAAAGGCGTATTCACCCCATGTATTCGAAAGAAACCTCGAGCGTTTCCCTCGGAAGAAAACAACAATGAAGAAGTCGCATTGATCGATCAGTGGTTATCAATAAATAACTCACATCTCGCAAACTAAATTGTACGTATTCAATTTTCAATGATTTAAACTTGTTGAAATTTGCTCCATAAAATGTACCGTAATTGACAAAACAGTGAATAACGAGTTTCACGACCTCGCCAGTCAGATGTTCTCGGACAGAGAAGATTCTCGCCACTTTTCTCTCTCTCTCTCTCTCTCTCTCTCTCTCTCTCTCTCTCCTGCCCCATCCAAGAGCTGACTTTCATCTTCTTCGCGCAGAACGCGCAGAAACGAAGCGCATGAAATTCGCTCGGAAACACGTCCAAGGCAAGGCTCGTGCAGAGCGCTCTCATTGTCACCCGCCGAGGCCGATATGGAAATCGCACTTTATGCATTATGGAGAGATATCGCCATAGCCACCCACCTGAAACTGGCCCGTTGCGTTACGCGCGCGCGCGCGCGCTCGGCTCTCTGCCCCTTTGTAACGCAATCGTTTCTTTTTTCACAAAACTAGGACAGCCCACGGTGGGTTAGCCTCGGATTAGCCGACGATTGCTCGTTAACGCGTCTACATTATGCAAACCTTCACCCACGGGACTGTTAAATATTAATTGTAGCCCGGCGCGCGCACGCAGTCTCGGCTCTCTCTTAGAGATCTGTATCGAGCGGGCGAATACGCGCGGCCAATTCCGCGCTCTATTAGAGAGCTGCGTTCTGCCAATTGCTCGCCGTTGCTTGCGGATCACAAGGGAGAGAAAGCTCCGAGCGCGTCCCGCTCGCGCGGGATCGGAGCGCGGATGACCGATCGGCGACGCGAGGGTGAAGCGCAGCTGTGAATGTAAATGAACGCGCCCGCGGAAAAATATCGCGAACACGTCGCGCGAGCTCCTCGTCCTCGTTGTCCTGGTCGCGTCGTTCGATTCGCCCGGAGGTTGACTGATCTCGATTTACCGTTAGTTAGCACTTAGCGGATACGAGGAAGGAGAGGCTCGAGCCGTCGTTCTCTAATCTTCCGGTACGCTCGCCTAATTAGCCGTTCCGCCTTGCGCGCGGGGCGTGCACCGTGGGTAACTTCTTCACGAAAATAACCGCGGTAAAATGACTGTCCGCGTCTCGTCATTTCCTCGCGTTTCCCTCGCGAGTCTCTGCGCTCCCCTCGGCGCTCGGCAGGGGAAAATACGAGCTAACCGGTGCTTTGGAGCAAATTAAATGTAAAACACGCGCGGGGCTCTCCTTCTCCCTTGCCGGCCCTTCCCCGCTCTTGCGCGCCAAACTGTTCCTTTCGTTCTCTCCTCCCCTTTCCCCTCTCCTTCCCTTTTCCCCGAGATTTCACTCGTTTCAGCGTGCTGCGTTGTTGCGGCACGCAGGACCACCTCTCGCGCGCTGCTGCGCGAGCACACGTCGTGCGAAGTTTCGTAACCGCGGGCTTCATTGTGCGATGCTGACGCGCGCTCGCTGACATGCGAGGCATTTTAATGGGGAGTTAAACGTTCCGGAGCGGAAGGAGATAAGGCGCGCGCATCTTCCGCTCCGGGACTTTTCCGCGCGACGCCCGCGTTACTATCCTTGAGAATACGAGAGAGGCCGTTCGATTGCGCAGCCGACCGGTGCTCGCTCCACGTCGCATCGTAACATGCCCACGTGAGCGAGAGCAGAAGTGATTACATACATTGGGTGTACATGAATGAATAATCCAATTAATTGTTCAGCCAAATTCGAGGTTTATTTTAACCCTTTAACGCCCGACTTTTACTTATAAGTGTTTCAAGAATAAAATTTGAGGTTTTTTCGAACTGAGACTAGGAAGTACACTAGGAAAGATGTATTGTTGCGTGAACCAAAATTTTGTTGCAACAACGAAATAATTCGGTTAAAATATGTCCAACAAAACTGTTCAGTTTCTGCAAACAGATATCTTGTTTGATTATGGTTTGTTCGTATAACGTAATACTTTTGTTATAGCAACGAGAAAGCTTTAACTATGTGAATCTTGTTAAAAATACTATAATTTTCCCTTAATATATAAAATCTAAATTTTGGTACACAGAAAGACAAAATGGTATCCATTGGGCATTATTTTAGTTTATGCAAAATAATATTTCGTTATTATGTAATTTTTATGGATAAAATAACTGAAATGCTGAATTTTTATATATCAAGTCTAAGAACAAAATCATTTGGTCCGGAGAACAAAGCAGAAAAATATATTTAGTTGAGGCAACTAAATATTTTGTTATATAAAACAAGATATTTGGTTGCTATTAAAAAATGCCTCAACTCAAGCAGTTTTGTTAGAGATACTAATTTTTTTCCCTAGTGTAGTGATAACCAAAAAAATATCAGAATTTTATATCTACGAAAAAAACTACCTTCTGAATAAATGAGTACATGAAGTTCCGGCTTTTCGTTTGTTGGTTTCGTTAGTTTGGTTTTTTTTATCGTTCGTTTTTTGTTTATTGGTAAATATGACTTGGATCCTGAAAGCATGCACGAAATGAGCAACCTATACAGAGAAAAATGAAGAGAATAATCTATACGACATAACTCTGATAGTCAGCTTGACATTTTTCAGCTGAAACTTTACTATATTTGTGAGTGAAGTTTATCATTCAAAGCGTCAAGCTTACCATCTCAGAAGAATATCTTATAGATCACCATTTAGATAGTCAATCGTGCCTTCATTTTTCGCCGCATAAAAAGCGCTGTAAGTCACCAGGTTTCACGAAAATAGGGTTGATTTCTTGATCTTCGTGTCCACCATTTATTGGATTCGCCATTTTGCATTTCTGTATTCTTTTAATTTCACATTTTGCATCTGAGAAAGCTTCCAAATGTATAAAATTATAACAGATTCACCATTCTATTCACTTATAGTGCACTTCTAGATGTCAGTAACAATGCTGTCTACTTGGAATTTGACAAAAATGTTATCATTAAAACTGAGCTAAAAACAGACTAAACCGAATCTATATACCATTTTTTAGAAGAAGAATTCACCTTTACGGTGGCGCAAAGAAAACGAAAATATCTCCTTTTCTGACTAAGTTATGGATTCTTAAATGCGTTTCTGGTAACTATAGTTACCAGCCAGTAGGCGGTAAAGGGTTAAGAGGAAGCAAAACAAATTTGTCAATCAAAGTATTCGCCGTTGTTTTCTATAACTTTAAGCCATCCTTCAGGCGGCCGATGAATTCCATGTGGGAAAAATGTCGTGTCTCTGGACACGATAAAGTCGTCAAGCTATTGTCGGATCTTATCCTGCTGATTTGAATGCGTGTCAGACAAGGTATTTTACTT